TGTAAAAGAGACAGATACAAAGGTGGAGAGTAGGGTAAGGTGAGTACTGTGAAAGTGGTGGAATATGACATACAGTGGGGTGATGGTAGTTTAAAGTGAGAAGTCAACTGCCGGTTAATGGACTTTTTAGCCGTATGAGTATACGTTGTCCAGGCTGCACCACGTGGAGGTAAGTCTATCGCACACCCCCATTATGAAAATATAATAATTGATATTGATCGATGAAAAATAAAGGCAACAATTGAGATCTTGGACGTTTCAACCGAGTGGATGGAATGAATTTGAAGGAAGGAGATGGTAGGGGGGGGGGGTTGACCTTAAAGAAGTACAGTCAAATTATAAATTGTCCCAGTTCAATTTATTTCTGAATTTAGTGAGCGTTTAGTTTTATCCCACAGTTAATGCCCAACATGCCGGCCTAATGGCTCAAATGTTAACTAAGTGAACTCTCTTTGAGTATAAATTGCTGGACTTTAAAAGTTAATAATAGAGTGATTTATTGGGCATATTAATTGGTACATTGCATTTGCCAATAGCATTAATCTGAAATTGTAAATTGTCTCAGTGAAATTGGTTAATTGCTTACGGTTAGTTAAGCTCTAATATACTATTCTTGTAAGCAATAGCAGAATATTAATCGAAAGCCACTTGATCTTATAATGATAATTATTGTATTTGCAAGAACATTTTTCGCACGAAATTACAAATCACACACCTTTTGCTAAGAGGGTCAATTAACAAGTCTGAAGTCAATAAACCACCTGCCCATTCTAATACGTTGATTTCGAGTGATCGGGAAGTGAAGGTGTTTCTGTTTGATCCCTATGAAGGAAGTGTTTTTCTCCTGGTGCTTAATGAAGGGAATTTCCATGGTACATAGTTAACGTTTCACCAAACCGGTTTAAAAAAAACACGAAGGACCAAATTTTAAAGGCACTAATTACTTAAAACCGAGAAATCAAGCAAAGGTCACTTTTAAATGAAGATTACGTTGAATGCAAAGGAAATTTCGAGTTCAAATAATAACTACTCAAGCCTATGGAACTGAAGGATGCCTCTTTATGTGGGTAGAAAAAATAATCTTTAGGTCGCATTACTTTCGTCTCTTTTCTCTCTACTCAAACCCATATCTGTCACATCTAGACGATTTTACTGATTTTACCTTTCTATATGTTTTTTCATTTAAAAAGAGACATTGTCGTCACGTGACCTTGCTGAGTGCCTCATAAAGAAATTTTGTTTTTCCAAAGTCCTACTTAAAGAAAGAAATACGCTTGCCGTTTATCGGCTCACACCCCTCTAGCTCACCCCTTTAATTCTCATCAAAATTTATTCACACACAACTCCGAATGTTATGCTCCTGGAAACTGATATTTGCTATTGTTAGTTGATATCCATTGCCTCAATTTCAACGATTTGGTTCTGATTTATTGCCTTCAACACTCTGGTAACTTCTAAAGTAATAGCACTACAATTAGATGAATCTGTGAGAATTTTACCATCAGCACAATGACAATATCTGCATAACAGTGAAACTAAACAAAAAAACTTTCTATTTGTGAATTCAACTTACTAACGATAAAAAAATACAAGAGATTAAACGAAATGCCACGTTAATTAGAAGAAGCGAAAGAAACTCGAATTCATTCAGTCAATCTTAATTTTGATTAAATGCGCAAACTTTAATTTAGGAAAAGTGTTCTAATAATAAAAATATGGCTTAATAGTGAACCTTTGCTATTAATTTCACAAATATTCACCTTTTAGTAATGTTAATACCCCGTAGTAGGTAAAAAGTACACAAATACCTCAAGGACTTTGTTAGCAAGAACTCCAATACAAGACAAATGAATAGGGGTCAATTTGAGAGTAGTAAGAAAATAGGTCTCGTTGTGAACAAAAATATGTTCCAAGAAATAGAAACAGGTAAGGAATGTGAAATGAAGGCGTGGGGTTGTGGAGAAGAACAGAGCACTTATAGAAGAAATGGGGAAAGTGGTGAGAGCTTTATTGGGGAAGATTTTTGAAAAAGGACAAATCACGCAACATAAACAAACACCTATGACAAATAAACATCAACCCCGAACAAATGAGACTCAACAACAACGTTGGGTTGACAATTGGACAAGCTTGGATACAGTGAGGGTAGACAGAGACGCATTCATCTCATTCGTTAATTACTATAGCAACCGTAGCAATTTTTGTCCTACTTTGAATCCTTTGTGGAGGATACTCCACTGCTTTCGCCTTGGCCATCATCGTACAGAGGATTCTTTACTTCCTTTTCGCTTACCTAAAATGGTGAGAGCAAAATAATTAGTAATTATTGAAATAAGACCAAAAACGTCCTTATCTCATAATTGATTCAGCAATTGATTTGAAAATAGGCCCCATGGAGGAGACCTCGAAACTTATATTTTCTACCCTTGTTTATGAATATGATTAACCCGATCATCCGTGATGACTTGAAATCCGTGCAATTAAATTACTGCTTCACAAGTATATTTTTTAAACTTTGAAACTGCAACTAAATTGAGGTGTCAAAACCGTTGTAATGGAACATTTGGAAAAGATTTTGCTCAGTAATTCTGATGGAGAATTAGGGAATTTGAATTTGTTAATAAAACTATTCGTTTCATTGTAAGTCTAACACCCAAAATCCAATGAAGTCAAAATAGTTGACTTTTGAATTTACTTTCAATAGCATTTATTGAATTTAATTTTAACAGATTTCGCCTGTAACGACAGGCGGACCTTCTTTGTTTTGCTATGGGCTATGCAATGTTTAATAATAGCAGTTTAAACTATCAAATAAGTTAAATTCCGTTTAGCCAATAGGATGTGCTTAGGTCACTTTGTTTGTTTAAATGGTCTTGGAGATGAATTCAACTCTGCTTTTATTGACTGCCTTGAAAGGTGTGATTTGATTGGCTGGACAGGAATATGTTCAGATTTGATACATACCATTCAGAATTAGTGGGCAGGCTTGCGCAAATGTTAAAATATTTAGCGCAAAGTAGTAACCTGTTAAATTATGTTTATGCTTTGCATCTGGCTCAAAATTTTTACATAAAAGATCTTTTTGTTATTCCGAAATCTATTTATAAAACTGGATTCAGCATTACCTGCATTCATAAACCATTATTATTGGCGACGATATAAAAGTAGAAATTTTTATGATGAAAAGGTGAATTTGAAGGAAAATAACTTTGAAGCGCAAAATGTTGACTTACTGTTGCTAGGCCGGGACATTCATATACATTGACAACGGGTTCCTCACATTCGCCTTCACTATCTGAATTACTGCTAAGACTTCGAACCCTGCCAGTAGCTCTAAAATGATGTAATAGAAATAGTAACTTATGACCATATCATGGCAAAATAAGAGAGATTCAAAAAAGAACAGAAAACAATTTTAACACATAATCACCTAAATTCATTCTAAAAGAAATTCGATTAAAAAACAATTAACCAGAAAAACTTAAAAGAAAGGAAGTGGTACCGTTTTATTACTTTCCGATAATTTTTGTGCTATTGATTACATTAAGAAAGAAAATTAAATAGCTTTGGAAGGCATAAACAATTATAATAAAGAGTACAAATAGAAAGCTCTTGAAATAAGATCTGGGGAGCGGGTATGCCAGAAAAAATTTAAAGAATCTTCAGTCTACTGAAAAGTTCATTTCAAGTTAAAACAGAATCTGAACTTGCGGTGAATATTCCACAGGACTGTCTCTATAAATTTTCAAGCATAGCCAGTGTGGAATCTACTACATCAGTAAAGAAATCTCGTAGCTACTAGATCTCTCTCTCTCTGAAAGGCTTAGTGTGCTACTAATCGCGTAATGAGCAAACGGTGACGTGCAAGTCGAGGGCTTCAAGCCATTCAGTGATCATTGCCCATTCAACGTATTTAACGACTGAAAATTTTGCTAGTTTGGGCATATGCTCAAAATATTTTGCTAACTCAACTCCATCATTGTCCTCGCAACTTTGGATGTAGCCTAGCTAACTTTGGCACCAAGGTGATTTTTTACTAACTAATCTTCAGACCCCAGAAGATTTTAATTGAAAAAAAATGGAGTCTGGAAAACAACGCGGAGGGGGGGGGGGGCGGGTCCAAGTATTAGATCAGCGAAGGCCATTGAACTTACTGGTCCATAGCGAGCATTTGCTGTTTCTGCTGTTGATAATGATACATCTGCGCTGAATGAGCTAAAGATCTGTCGCCCGCACTCTCAATAGCACTTTCTTTCTTATTTACTACAGCGGAGAAGTCGCCTCTCTCACCGAATGACGTTCTAAAGCACAGTAGAAAGAACAGTAAAAAGGTGAAAAATAATAGTTCTTAAGCTAATATGATAAGCCAATGAGTACTCAATTGAAGAGTATTGCAAAGAAGACTTCTAGGGCATCACTAGCCCTAAGATAAATTAAAGTAACCTGGAGGAAAAACGACCTATTAAGAAGTTAGCAGACCAAATTCACTCGTTGTGATTGTATAATAGTAAATATATATTCACGAATCAACATTGATTAAGGTAAATCGTTTTTAAAACCTGGAAAAAAGCACAAGCATATCTTTTACAAAATTTGTATTTTTGCATATCGTTGCATTAGGCTAAGCGAAGTTGTTCAGAGTGAAAGGAGATTTAATGCAATCACATATTGGATTTGTCAAGGTTGGATAATATAAGGATAGACAGACTGAAGACAAAAAAGGTGAAAATAGCGACGAATGAGTGACACAAGTAATTCCTCACTCTTTTAATCAAACAACTAATATTTTAGAAAAAACCATTAAAAATCAATAGCCGGAAGACCTTATTTGTTCATGACGAAATATGAAAGTGGGGATTCATAGGAAGTGGGTTTGAAAATAATTGTCATTAACAAAGCAAGTGTGAAAAATTTTGACTTTTATTCGAGCGTAAAATAGTTACATTGGCTAAGAAATTCTAATCTGAAAGATGAGCAAGATTAAAGAATACAGCATTTGAATTTAAGTAATATACCATTTTGGCCAACTATTTTGCAGGACACTGAATTTGCTATTTAACGACGAATCTTTCTAACACATGTCCTTGAAATACACAATTATATCACGAGCTCATCAAATTAATTAGTAAAACAACTATGCATAAAAGAAAGGAATTGAAGTTACATGACTAAATACTCCTTCGTTGTAAAATAAGAAATTGACGGAAATACTAGAAAATGGGACTTACTTAGGCCAATATACGACCCCTAGAACCACACCAACAATAGCAGCTCCCACACAAAGAACAGATATAAGAGCTAAAATAAAATTAAGTAAGCCATTTTACTATGACAGGATAAAAGGGGATTTTAACTACAGTGGTAACAGTCTTACTAGCTGTTTTCCAGCTCATTATTGAGCCTAGTCGTGAGAAAGGAGAACCACCTTCCGTTAAATCCATTGTCTCATCTCCTGGTACGACAGCTAAAATTAGATTGATTCGGATTTTACTCAAATTAAATGACAGGGAAATGAACGGTCTGAGAACAATTTGATTTGAAAAAATCATTATCAAATCAAATTTAGAGCAAATAAAGTATACAAATAAATTTTTAGATTAGATAACCAAGTGAAATGTCATAAGTCATAAAGATTTCATTAAATATAATTGACCTAAGTTAAATACTACTTAAATGATATTGATTACTTTTTGATTTGTATTTATGCGTCCTCAATGGGCCAAAAAATTACAAATATTCCTTTATTTCATATAGTGAACGCTTGGGATTATAGTACATTAAAGTTTTCAGAAATTTCAAACTGAAACGACTTACTTTTCTCTGCTTGACGCTTAAACTTTTCGTAAGTATCTACCATGGTGGGCTTAAAATTTTGGTCAATTTCAGAATCACCACTTGGCACCCACATGTTTAGAGATTCTAAAAAACAAAAGAAATAGTATGAACATTAAATAGTACTTTAATGTTAAAAAGGGTCATTTGCTGAAGCAAATGGAATTAAACGATCTGAATAATTAACCCACAGAGTCTAGATAATTAATAGATACATAATCTTTTAGAGTTCAATAGATCTTTAAAAGATTTCATGGGAAGGATTAATTTATCTCTCTGTTAGTCACAAAATACGTCCGTATTAAATAATGAATACTATATATATATATATTTAATAAGCACAAACCTTGATCTCTCTGAGAATATCCACCTCCATTATAGCCTACTGAAAATGGTTCGTTATCCTCATCGTCGACACTATCCTGATAATCATAGTATTCACGACTAACATGAGAAAAAGCCACCGTTGTTGTAAGAAAAATAGCTATTACGACGATGCCTGATCGTCGCATAACCGGAGGCAGCATAGCCGTCCGAGTAAATGCGCGTATCGATCCATCATTATGTCAGTCCGACCCCGCAGTGTGTGTCCGTACCACTACTCTCTCTATTTCCTTGAGGCAATCGCGCATCATACGCTATTGCCTCAGAAATTTGTGCGACAGACAGGCGAATTTCTCCCATGTGCTCCCAGTCTTAGAGTTTTGCGAAGAGAGAGAGAAATAAAGGTGTGAAGTTATTCACGAGTTTTGGATACATATATATATATATATATATATATATATATATATATCAATTTTCCAAAAATAGTAGACAGGCCTACGTGGACATAAGTTACGTGAACTATTTTTATTTTGGAATGAGTATATCTTGAGAAGAGTGGTTCTTATGAGTAGAATAAACACTTCCATTAACTCATTCATAAATTAGTAATATTTGATATAATCGATATGAAACGACCGAGATTTTTTATATTTTTTGAACACGATTTTAAGATTCGAAATTGTGATAAAATTAATTTTTCATCAGCGAACCCAAATGGAAAAACCTGGTTATTAATAAAAAATTCTTGATAACTACCATTTACATAAATTTGTATAAATAACAATTTTTGATAAAAAATTCCATATTTCTATTTTTGTTAAAGACCAAGGCTCATTTTTCCAAGAAAATATCGAATCTGGCTCTATAGATTAACGCAAAAAACTCAAGGTTTATTATTCTACATGCATGTTAGTGGCTGTAAGATCCTTCTTGGCGGGTTGAAAACAAAATCTTAATTTCCTTGTCGTTATATTTCATTTCAACAGAGAGCCACCCAAAACAGCTGAGATAAACGAATGTAAAAAACTCTATGAGCTGCTGAGAGAGAAAAACAAAACAGTGGTCATAAATTGGATTCCTGGTCACTGTGGCATTAAAGACACTGAGCTTGCTGACACATTTGCTAAGAAGGGGACAACGATTTTGCAATGCATGGACCGCCTGGTAAAAAGGGGACAACGATTTTGCAATGCATGGACCGGCCGATGTCTTTCGACACCAATGAAGGCCTTAATCAGAAGAGAATTCAAGACCTCAAGAATGAAGGCCTTAATCAGGGGAGAATTCCAAATCAGAAGAGAGTTCAAGACCTCAAGGTGCAACGAACTTGAGCTCGAACAAATGAGAAACAGTGGACAGTGGCACTCTCCGATTGCAACGAACTTAAAGTTCGAACAAAGGAAAAACAGTGGAGAGTGGCACTCTACCACATAGCGACTGGCCAAGAAGATTGCCCCGTTGCTGAGTTTAGACTATGTACCGGACACGATTGCTTGACAAAACACCTTCACAGATTGGGAGTATACACTCAACCCACATATTCTCTATATAACCTACAGGAGGAAATGGAGAAGACCCACCTGATTCGGTATATTGGGAGAATACACTCAACCCACATGCCCTCTATGTAGCCTGGGAGTATACACTCAACCCACATGCCCTCTATGTAACCTAACGATTGCTTGGCAAAACACCTTCACAGATTGGGAGTATACGAGCCGTTGCTGAGTTTAGACTACGTACTGGACAACCGTTGATGAGTTTAGACTACGTACCGAACACGATTGCCTATCAAAACACCTTCACAGATTGGGAGTATACACTCAACTCACATGTACACACTTCACAGACTGGGAGTATACACTCAACCCACATGCCCTCTGGATTGGGAGTATACACTCAACCCACATGCCCCCTATGTAGCCTCCCGGGAGTATACACTCAACCCACATGCCCTCTATGTAACGTAGGGAAATGGAGAAGACCCACCTGATTCGGTGTCCAGCCCTACGACAACGACGGAAAGCCAGAGATACTGGGAAGCAAGAAGAGGGACAACGAAGACCCACCTGATTCGGTGTCCAGCTCTAAAGACAAGCAAGAAAGCCAGAGATACTGGGAAGCAAGAAGACAGCTAATGAGCTGAAAGCAGAGTACGGGGAAGCAAGAAGACTGCTAATGAACTGCTATTAATTAACCGCTATAAATGTAATCCAGCTCTAAAGACAAGGACGGAAAGCCAGAGATACTGTTAAGCAAGAAGACTGCTAATGAACTGCTATTAATTAACTGCCGCAAGAAGACAGCTAATGAATTGCTATTAATTAACTGCTACATGTATGTACCCCACCCCCTCTTGGGGGAAGCTGAAGTCAAAGTTTAAGGGCTAATGATAGTTGGGGGAAGCTGAAGTCAAAGATTAAGGACACTATCATAAAGCCTGCCATTTGAAATAAATAAATAAATATTTCATTTCTCTGCATTACTGAAATTTTGACTTAGCCAAAAATGTTCATTCGAGCTGTTTTATTGCCCCGACGATGAGAAATCGGTCATTTGAAGGTCAAGCATCCTAATGAGTTAAAAATGCCGGATGATCACCTAAGAACTTCTAGCTCCACTGAATTTTCCTAGAGAGATTTCAGTTGTTGATTTGATAGAAGTAGAAGGCAATTGACTTGGAAGTCAGCTGTTTGAACTTTTCATTAATATACTTTTAAGAGAAATAGTAGATCAAGATAATGTTGAAGAAATAACGGAAATTCTGTGGAATTCAAACATGATTATCGAAATGAAGTTTACTAAAATTGTTTAAAATCGTTCGTAAACCTCTTGTTATTTATGGCATGCTAGCCAAACTTTGACAAAACTGAGAATGTGGTGAATTTATTTCGACGAATTCTCTAGATATATTGACGCAATTTAGCTGCTTTTTAATGTGTATGCAGGGTTCGAAAAGACATGCCATTGTTTAAATTGTTAGTTTTTACCTTCACTAAGCGGAATAGTAAGTTAATTTGTTTGCAAATAATTAATCTTTAAATGCTAAATTGAATTTTCTCTCGAGAATAATCGCAAATATATTCCATTGGGATTTCTATCAGTCAAAAAGCCAAATATTTTTAAAAGTTGTTGCACAAATTATGCAAACATCTTTAAAATGCGATATATTTAAGCATCGAATACTTTGATAAAACTTACGGTAAGGCAATAAAGCTTTAAAAAAATTCATTAAGGAAGAGTTACCTATTTCGGTTGAAAGTGCAGGGAAAAGTAACGAACATAAGTTAACAATTAAGTCAGGACAATAATGGGTCTTAATCAATTGATTACTGGATAGAGTCCCTTGTCCACTTTATCCAATATTTGGTGACAGGGGTTTCTTAATTCACGATATTTCACCCCGCAACTATAAAGCAGAATGATATAATACAATGCAAAGTAGTGTATACTCAATGTCATAATGTAGAAAATTACTCTATTGACAAAAGCGCAACAGCCTTAGTTTTGAAATTCTTTTGTAAACCGTTTATTAAATATTACCTTACAATATAAAAATTTATTTAGTTATTTCAAATGACAGGCGTTTTGATAGATATCATTAGCCATTTAGCTGACTTCGGTCTTCGCAGAGAGAAGGAGGAACATCAAAGTAGCAGAAAGTCGAGGGGT